AACTACGCCGCCGAATTCTATACTGAGCTCGCCTCATCCACAATACTCCATATAATCGAGTTAGCGGGTCGCACCAACGCATCGGTGACCTTCCAGCTGACCTTTTTATATGTCGTGGGTACCAATCGATAAAGCGTTTCGTCCATCTGTTATCAGTTATTCTTACTGTGGTTAACGGTCGCTTAAACCGTTACTTACGTACTCGATACAGCGTTTACGTCACTGACGCGCCACTGATTTCCAGTGACTGAGTCGAAACCACGCTACCGAGTCCCATCCAGAGCTCGCCTCATCCACAATACTCCATATAATCGAGTTAACGCATCGTACCAATGCATCAATGGTCTTCCTGCTGAACTTTTTATACGTCGTGGGTACCAATCGATAACGCGTTTCGTCCATCTGTTATCAGTTATTCATGCAATGCCGCCGGCGCAGCTCCATTTTCTTTGCACACATCACTTCTATCTTTCACGCCAGAACGTAATCGAAACTCATTATTACGTACATGCTGTGCTTTGCTGACATCCAACATTCGTCTCTCCATTGATCGTTGTATAACAGCTAGTTTCTTTTCCTCTGCGACAATGGTGTTCCACGTATCGCATCCACTAAGTAGCACAGGGAGAATGGTGGTGCTGAACAGCTCTGCCTTTATGTGAGATGATTTCCATTTGTCTGAGATTTTAACCGTCGGCTTGAACCATTAGTTCGCGTTAACACCAACTTACTATCAAAACGAATGAACGAAATGAAAAAAAAAAAAATTAGCTTTCTCAACTATACTTTCCGTAGGAAAGCACTGCTGCTTGGACTATTCATAGAGGAAAAAAATTTGGGGAATTCCGTAAAATATGCCAAGAAAATGAATGCAAAATGCAAAAATTGAAAGAAAATGGCTCTAGAGAGACGTATCAAAGACAAGAAACCTGACTGATATGGCGTGGTGGGAAGCCACCATCCGTGTTACGAATCAACTGCTTACAATCAAACTCATTCCGAGACAATTTTGAATTTCTCTCAAACAAGAGATACGCAAAAAGGCACATTAGGACGAGGGCAACCATTAATATACAAACAATTACACCAGTGGCCATCTGATACGCTACCAATTCTCGTCGAATTTTTACTTCAAATGGCGAAAATGTTGTCGTCATGTACTGCACCAACTGAAACTTTATAAATTTTATAAAAAAAAATTTATTAAAAAAATTTACCTCCAAAAATAGCAACACAAAGCTGAAAATTTTGCTAAAATGAAGGATACATCCTAACTGTTTCAAAAATTCTAAATCATTTAGATACTCAATGTCACGGCGATCATTCTAAACCACCTGTGTTGGGACACAGTACTGAGCTTGAAGAAACGAAACGAACGTCAGGATCGCCAGCAGGCTGACCATCAAATGAGTCAAAACAACTGGAAAAGCTGCATGGCTGGAGAACCAGATCATGCATATTATGGCTGAACCAAGCATTCCAAATGCTGATTTAATGCCGTGTTTGCCTCCACAGGCTTACTTCTCTTGAGTTCATCTTTCCAGTGCTGTTGCCATAGTAGGGGTTTAATTCAGCCCTCATTCTGATTCTTCTGCATACTTTTCTTTCCGTGCAAAACTCCGCTTATTTATAAAATTCCGTCACGGGATGCAAAAAAAAATAACGCTCATGCTGCAACCCAGCGCAGCAAAAAGCGGAGACTCACCGATGGTAAGTATATATTCCAGAACGATACCAATTCCCAGCGATAATCACGCTCCAGTGTGCCAGGTATGGAAATAGCATTATACGTAGAATAGTTGAAATTCATGTACCAATGTCGTCGTGGTTCGAAGGCCAGCCAGCTTGAATCGGAAGGAAGATTTGGATTCCTAAACATATATCTCTCACAGAAATATTCTTTGTAAAAACAGACAACTGAATCAAAATCCCTCCATATTTATTTAATCTTTGTAAATCCCTTCGCATTCAATCTCTATGAGGGACGGAAGTAGCCCAAGTCTCCATGAGGGACGGTAGCACGTGTCAACAGCAACCAACTGTTGGCTGGACTGTCGATGGAATGGCCACTTGGTCCTATTGCAAGAACGGTCATTTTGCTCGACATGTGATGTGTAACCCTACAATTCAACCTATTTCCTTCCTCTCACTGAATTCTTACTTCAACCTACTTCCCTCCATTCACTGATTTCTAACAGTTCCATCAAATTCTAAATAATTCTTTGTTACCTACTTTCTCACTTACTAAATACTTTGCCCTCCTTTTCCCTCCATAAATTTTCCCTGTATAAACCCCTTCTAAAGGCCAGATTCTCAGTCTCGGGATCAAAGCGCGTCACTGGTCTGCCATGTCCTGCCTCAACAAACGCTACTAACAAACGCTACTAACTACCCGTCGTTTTATTTGAATTGAAGCTTTTATCGGAGAATGAAGTGCTGGCACTCTTCGCTGTCTTCCGCTGCAGCAGTCAAAGACCACGTGAGGACCTAACAAATGTCCACAGGCCATAGATCCAAAACAAAACTGGACTTTCCAAGCAGGGTCG